TTGTAACTATAGTTAAATAAGAACTGAGTTTCAGTGATCTTTTTCTTATAAAAGATATAATCTGTAGAGATTAACTATAGCATTTATAATCAGAAGCTTCTTATAATAGTGAGATTCTTCTGTCACTGATATTACTACTTTAAGAGTCTTGTAACAGTGATTACTGTTAGAACTGATTATAACAGCTTATAATAGTTTACTTCAATTAAGAAACTCTTGTAATGACAGATTCACTGAGCTCAGAGACTGAGTGAGTTCTGATTCAAGATAGAATATATTAAGAAAACTAAGAACTCAGTGAATGAATTCTCTTACAGACTAGACTATATTAAGAAGATCAGAATGACAGATATAGAGAGATTAGAGAAGACAGAAAAGCTTTACAGAATGCTTAAACTGAGTGTTATAAAGAGATTAACTGAAGAGTCTCTCAATTCTCTATAAGAGAAGAGAGAAGAGAGAGAAAAAAAGTCTGTATAACTACTCTCTATAACACTGAGAGTTAACACTCTGAGAATCTCTGTGAGAATTCTTGAAGAGAGTATCTATAATCTGAAGAGTTTGCAGGCTTTGAGAAGTACTGTAGAAGACCTGATGTAAGAGAAAACAGAATATAAGTCTTTATAAGATCTTCTATTCAGATTGTCTGAACTGCAACTGAAGAATGAATATACTTAGTATATTTAAAAACTACTCACAGCAGAGATCAATTCTGCAGAAATAAAGAATTGAAGAGACTTAAATAATCTCTTATAAAGAGAGAGCTGAATTTATATATCTGTGAATAAGTTTCTATGTATAGAATTTATCAAAAGATATTATAACTCTTCTCTAGTGAGTCATTTTACAGATACTAGAACTCATAAGTTACTTATAAGAAAATACTTCTGACTGAAGATATGAGAACTTGTGAAGAAGATAGTGAATTCTTATACTGTTTATCAGAATTCACAGATAGTGTGATTCAGATTATATGAAGAACTTACTTCTCTACTCATTCTATAAGAATCTTGAGAACAGCTAGAAATGAATGCTCTTATGAGTCTTCTGAAAAGTAAGAACATATATAATACCTGCTTTGACAGTGTACTGATGATAGTGAATTACTTTATCAAGATAATATACTTTATATTCATCTGTAAGAACTTGAAGTCAAAGAATTTAACTCATATCTTTGTTTATAATATGATTTAATTACATGAGTTATCTGTAAATATTATCTCAGACAGAGAATCAATCTTTATAGAAGAGTTCTAATCTGATCTGATAACTATACTGAAGATCTTATAAGATCTAAGCATGACTTTTCATTAACAGACAGATAATCAGATAGAATATCTAATGAGTATATTAAAACAGTATCTGCAGTGCTTTATCAATTACAATTAGAATAACTGAGTATATTGATTATCACTTACAGAGTTTATATATAACAACTTAAAACATATCAGCACAGATAAAACCTTCTTTGAGATACTCACTGAAACTTATTCACAGATAATCTTGATGAATCTGTGAGAGTATACTATAGAGTGTAGTGATACTTGTGAATAAGCTGAGAGAATTCAGAAGATCTGGGAGAAAGTTCATCAATTCTTGAAAAAGACTTAAGAGTATCAGAAGAGATATTATGACTTCAAGTATATTATAAAGAGTTTCAAGAAAGATAATAGAGTCTGACTGAGTCTAGAAAATATCATTATACAGAGATCTAGTAAGAAGCTGAATCTCTTATGAATAGAGTTTTATAAGATTATAGAGAAAGTTAGCTTGCAGTTCTATAGATTAGAACTGTTATCTAAGTTACAGATATACAATGTTTTTCATATCTCTTTACTCTATAAATATAAGAAATTCTTAGAAGAGAACTCTGTGACTCATCACTCTGTCTATGAAGTACTAGAGAGTGAAAGAGAATATCAGATTAAAAAGATTGTTAACTCAGAGAAGTAAGATTATAAGCTCTGATTCAAGATTCAGTGATAAGAGTATTCTAACAAGATAAATGAGTTTACTTAAGAATTATCTGAGCAGATAAGATATCTGCAGAAGCTGAGACATGACTTTTATACTGTGAATTCTGATAAGTCAGAATGACACAGTCTTTGCTAAGTATCTGATTGTAATAAAGATATTAACACTGTCATTTATAAATTCTAGTCTATAAGATAATAAGTTTCTACTGAGATGAACAGTCTGTAGTGTATATAAGAAAAGAAGAAATCATATTCTTATTAAAGTTAAAAAATAAGAAAATAAACAGCGCTGTGAACACAATTTGAAGATTAATAAAGAAAAAATAAAGAAAACTCAAACTCACATTCTCATCATTTGTAACACTCAATCTTCTCATAACTATCAATTTCTCTCTTCAAAGAAGCAGAGAGCATTATACTCACAGTACAGACAATTGTTATATTTAATATAAAGATTATCAGAAATGCACAGACTTCAGAGAAGCTGAATATCAGAGTATATACAGTTATAACAGAGTCTTAAGAGCTGACTGTCTGTGTATGTGATTAGATACTTCTTATGAAGCTGTGTTCACTCTCTTAGTTATACTGAGATATTCAGTCTGAAAATAATTGAGATGTGAAGAGAGAGCTTATCTACTCAGATTAACTTCTGTTATGAATTTATAGCATTTACATTATCTTGATTACTCAGATTTTACAGATACTCAGAGACTCATCTTCTATTAACAATGAGATTGTGAAAATGCACTGCAGTGTGAGAATCATTGATAGAGAACCTAGACATATTTGTATATACCTGGTCAGAGATTGTGTAGACAGAAAAGAAGTGATTATAGACCTGCAGAGCTGCAGAAGACACTGACAATACTAAGAGCTTTATAAGAACTATTAGCTAGAGTCTGTAAGAAATTACTTATGAGAAGACTTACAGCAAAGAAAGAAACTGCACTGCTTGAAGCCAGAGACTGGCCTGAGAAAGACATGAGATGAACTGCTGACTCAAAGATCAGATGTGATGATGAGACTGAGAAGAATGAAGATATGATTATAAGTAGACTGGCCGCTGAGATCATGAATTTCACGTTTGGTCTCATTTGGTCTGGTCTCATACATTTCTTGGCGTGAATCCCGCTGGGACTTGCTATCAAAAAAACATGTAAAGTGACTATATATCAGATTTTAAAATGAAACCATGACTTGAAAAAAATGAGAAAGTGATCTCATTTGGTTCCATTTAGTCCCATTCTTAGCATAAAGTTACTATTTTTAGACATTTTAAGATTTTTTTTAGACTATTTTTAATTTTTTAAAAAGTAATGCTTTTTGATAACACTCAAATGAGATTTAAAGTCATTTAAAGCAATAAAAATAATTTAAATTGAGAAGTGGAAATCATGGTCTCATTTGGAAAATGTGACAAGAGTAGACAGTAAGTTCCACTGAGACAGTATGAGACCACTATCTAATGTTAAAACCGTGTAATGAGATCAGTCGAATTGGTAATGAGACTATCAAAAAATCTGATCCTGGTCTCAGACACGGTCACACGGTCAGTCTAATTATGAGCAGCAGTACTTCTGCTTCATCAGCTAGTAAAAAGTGATCAGAGAAGTCACAGAAACACTCATAAGAAGCTCAGCAGTGATCAGATATTATTTATAAAGATATTGAAATTGAAAAATTTTTATTCTTGAGAAGTTCTTGAATCAATATATGAATATTGTTAGAAACACTCTCTCTCTGTCATCTGAGTGAAAACACTTCATAGATAAATGAAGATACTCACAGTTTATAAGAATGAAAGCTGTTATAGAAAAAGAGAAAAGAAGATGAGATTCTGTGAACAGATTTGAAGTATTTATACTACTCTAGAGAGATTTACTTACACTGTGAGTGATTCTGCAGAACAGTCAGATCACTCTAGTAAATAAGAGTGATTATAAATTGCAGGTCTGAATCTTTTTATATAACTATAAAGAGTGATTGCAGATCATGAACATCTTGATTTTACAATTCTACAGAGTTAATGAAAGAATGAAAAATTTCTTATAATTCTACAGTGTCAAAGAACAATGATTTATAAGAATAAGTGAAAGATCAACTCACAAATACTTCTCTTTAATAAGAATGATCTCACAGAGAGTGATTCACCTGTGAGATGAATCTATGTAATGATTATATAAGAATCTTATAAAAATAATTGAGAGTCAACTGAAACTCTTCTATATGAAAGATATAAGATGAATCTGTGTAATGATCACACAAGAATCTTATAGAAATGATTGAAAGTCAATCAGAATTCTTCTGTATAAAAGATATGAGATGAATCTGTGTGATAGTCAGAAAAGAATCTGTAGATTATAAAGAATCTTATAAAATAAGAAACTGAGTGACAGACTCTTTTTTCTTTATAATAATAAGGAATTTATCCTCACTAAGATTTTTTATAGATATGAAGAGTTTTTAGTGAGTATTACTGCAGTGCTGAGCTGATTCTATAAAGTCACTCAGTGAAAGGCTTCACAGATGAAGTCTTAGAGAGAAGAAAATATGTAAGAAATTCTGCTTCTCACAGATTCTTTATCTCTATTTCTATCTCTCATGTAATTAATAGAGCTAGCAGCCCTTGACTACACACAACTATATAGACTGAAGTTCATAAATACTATTCATAACTCAGCTTAAATGCTATTATACATTTAATCTCTACATTTTATCTTTCTATCATGAATACTTCTAGTAGTTAACAGTACATATCACGCCAAGCTGCAAACACCTGAATAATCGCCTGTGAGCACTTATTCTTACAAGATCAAAGGCTCAGTCAGATCTTGAAATATACTGATTTTATAGTTGTTGTGTCTGCTGATTGTGTATCAAATACAGTTGCTGAGATATCTTTTTGTACTTTTCTGCCGGGGATGAGCCAGATTGAGAGAGGTGGTACGAGGGTGAGACTTGGTGTTGATGTCTAGATACACTGAAGACAGACCACGGAGATTGCACTTCAGAAGTGGCTGTTGATTATGTGCTTGATATTATCGCCGAGGTATCTTTTTGTATTTTTCTGCCGGGGATGGGCCAGATTAGGAAGGGCGGTACGAGGGTGGGACTTGGCGTTGGTGTTTTGAAACATCAAAGATGGACAGGGTTTTCGCGGAGGTCGCTCCTCGGATATCTCCACAACTACAGGTCGGGGATCTTCCAAAATCGAGAAGATTGGTGCATATGGCTAGGTCTCTTCACCTTACAATTTGTATGGCAATTTGGCCCGGGGTTGTGGTGTGATAGGGGAGAACGGGGGATAATCCCACACAGGAGTTTCGAACAACGTCTGGTTCACGTTTGGCTGGATAACTCCACCACCACACAGGGTATGCGGTCGGCGATGGGGTCAGAATGCTCGTATGATCGAGGGCTTTTCGATGAATCTATCGGCGGGTTCTTATTCGAAAAATCGAGCGAGTTCGTGGTGGAGCGGTTTTTGCAACTGCTCATCTATCTACAATTAATGATAAAATCTTTCAAATATGTGATATAAAGTGAACTCAGTTGAAATATGTAATTGATTTACTGTTTCAGTTTTATAAGATAATAAAGACAGTCTCAATCACTTATACACTAATACTACAGTCAGTCTGATAAATATATAACAGTTTATTTATTTATCTTGAAAAGTAGTTGAATCACTTAAAAAGAAATTCAGTCTGAGATGATACTATAGCACAGGCTATTATTACTATAAGAGATAAACTAATATATTACTACAGCAAAACTGAACAATCTTTTACATAGTACTATGCTGTAGCAGCTCTATTAGATCTCTCTTATCAAGTTAATATCTATACTTATCAAGATTAAACAGAGAAGAAATAAGACTCATATATTAAATTAGTCTGAGACTACTATAATGTCAGCAATCAGAGATTTGAATAAGCAGATATTAGAGATATGAAGATAGTGAAATATAATTCTTTAGTAAGTAATAATCTTTAATAACACTTCATATTATATAGAACTATTAAACTGACTGTATAACTATGTCTGAGATCAGAATCAGATTTTTTGATAGTCTCATTATCAATTCAACTGATTTCATTACACAGTTTTAACATTAGATAGTAGTTTCATACTGTCTCAGTGAGACTTACTGTCTACTCTTATCACATTTTTCAAATGAGATCATGATTTTCACTTCTTAAATTAAATTATTTTTATTGCTTTAAATGACTTTAAATCTCATTTGAGTATTATCAAAAAGTGTTACTTTTTAAAAAATTAAAAATAGTCTAAAAAAAACCTTAAAATGTCTAAAAATAGTAACTGTATGTCAAGAATGAAACTAAATAAGATCAAATGAAATCACTTTCTTATTTTTTTCAAGTCATAGTTTCATTTTAAGATATGATACATAGTCACTTTGCATGTTTTTTTAATGACTAGTTTCAGTGAAATTCACAACAAGAAATGTATGAGATCAGACTAAATGAAATCAAATGTGAAATTCATAGTCTCAGCGGCCAGTCTAAGAACTATAATACTAACTTTAAAACAAAACTTACATATATTAATTACAACTGAAAATCAAATAAAACTACATACTTATAAAACTGAATTTGACTGCTATCTTCAAGATAATTTAATGAATTTACATATTAAGTCAATTCTAGAGTTATAAAAAATTATTAAGAGTATATATTCAACTATTACACTGATAATATGTGATATTCTGATAATTTTATTAATAGAGATAAGAATGAAGTGAAAGTTCAACTCAAGCTGAGATATTTATCACTATTATTCTAGATAATTATAAGAAGAAATAATCAAGAAACTTATAATTATAAAATATGAAATTATTAAACATTTAAGATCTCTGATCACAGTATATCAAAGAAGTGTAGTTTTTATAAGAAAGTAAAGAATAAACTTGTATAAGAATATATTTAGTTATTTCATAAGTATTATCAATAATCATTATTAAATTCTGATTATATAAGCAATCACTGAATGAACTGAATAAGACTGAATTTAATCTTCAGTCTCAGTCTCATTCTGATTTTGAAAGAATAATTATCTTTCATAGTTTATTCTGAGAAATTACTTTCATTTCACTGTTCTTGAATTAAATCTGATCATTTTTCACATCATTTCTCTCAGAAATAATTCATTTTCAGATTTTTTTAAGACTTGATTCTGATGAAACTTATATCAAGAAATGTATGAGATCAGATTAAATGAGATTAAATATGAAATTTATAATCTTAGCAGTCAGTCTAGTAGTGATCAGCAGATAAAGAAAAAGTGTAAGAAAAGAAAAGAAAATGACTGAAGAGATAATGAATTAATTATCAATTATAAGAGTCAGCTGTAAATAGACTGACTGTGTAACTGTGTCTGAGATCAGAATTAAACTTACAGTTATTACATTATCTAAAAGTATTACTTCTGATTATAATTTGTATTCATTACATTGATTTCAAATCATGTTATTTCAAATACTAAAGATCTCAGATTTACTTTTTAAATAAAAATCTAGTCTCAGATAAAAAATATATTTAAATTCTTAGTCATATTTTTATTCTGATTTCAATATTGAGAATGATATTAAATAAGACTATGAAATCACTTCTCACTTACATAATATTATAACATAGTACTCATTTGTTGAAAATTTAATAGAGAGTATTATTAAATATTATTACTTTTCTGAACATAGATTATAATTCATATAATTTTAATTATGAAAAAAATATAAAATATAAAAAAACACAACAAAAAATAAAAAATAAAACAAAAAAAAGAAAAAATCAGAATGAAAAAAAAAGAGAAAGAAAAAAAAAATAAAAGAAAAAGAAAAAAATAAAAAATATAAATAAAAAAAATCAAGATCATAGAGCTGCGGTATTTTTAAAATACTCTTTTTTCAGAGTCTTTACAATGTTTATTATTAACTATATATCTCTCACAGTGAGAGTAACACAGTTATAATAAGTTATTATCTTAATATTATCTAATAAATAATCAGTATATATCTGTATAAATGTGAATATTTAGAAAATATACACTTAAAAAGTGTGATCAGAATGAACTCTGCTATCACTTGAATAATATCAAGAGTAGAATACTGAAATTAATGATTCTTCTCATTAATTTCACAGATAAGATATATAAAGATAATTTTAAAAAATATAAGATTCTCTGACTTCTAATAAAAACAGATCTCACAGAGAGACTCTATTTTTATAATATCAGAGACTGAGTATTATTAAAAAGTGTTACTTTTATACAATATATATATACTTACTGTAATGATTCACTCTCTATACATGTGATTAAGAGTTTGTAAGAATAAGTGCTCGCAGGTAATTATTTGAGTGTTTGCAGCTTGATGTGATATGTACTGTTAACTACTAGAAGTATTCACAGTAGAAAGATAAAATGTAGAGATTAAATGTATCATAGCATTCAAGCTGAGTTATAAATAATATTCATGAACTTCAGTCTATATAGTTGTGTGTAGTCAAGAGCTGCTAGCTATATTGATTATATAAAAGATAGAAATAGAGATAAAGAATCTGTAAGAAGTGAGATTTCTTATATATCTCTTTCTCTCTAAGACTTTGTCTGTAAAGTCTTTCACTGAGTGACTTCATAGAATCAGCTCAGCACTGTAGTAATACTCACTAAAAACTCTTCATATCTATAAAAAACCTCAGTGAGGAAAAAAAATCTCTTATTACTATAAAGAGAAAAGAGTCTGTCACTCAGTTTCTTATTTCATAAGATTCTTTATAATCTACAGATTCTTCTCTGACTATCACACAGATTCATCTCATATCTTTTATATAGAAGAGTTTCAGTTGACTCTCAATTATTTTCATGAGATTTTTATATAATTATTATACAGATTCATCTTACAGATGAATCACTCTCTGTGAGATCACTCTTATTAAAAAGAAGTATTTACAAGTTAATCTTTCACTCATTCTTATGAATCATTGTTCTTTGACACTGTAGAATTGTGAGGAATTTTTCATTCTTTTATCAACTCTGTAGAATTGTAGAATCAAGATATTCACAGTTTACAATCACTCTTTGTAATTATATAGAAAGATTCAGGCCTGTGATTCACAATCACTCTTATTTACTAGAGTGATCTGACTATTCTGTGAAATCACTCACAGTATAAGTAAATCTCTCTAGAGTAGTATAAATACTTCAGATCTCTTCACAGAACTTTATCTTCTTTTTTCTTTTTCTGTAACAGCTCTCATCTTTACAAACTGTAAGTATTCTCATTCATTTATAAAGTATTTTTATTCAGATGACAGAGAGAGAGTGTTTCTGATAATATTCATATATTAATTCAAGAACTTCTTAAGAATAAAAATTTTTCAATTTTAATATCTTTATAAATAATATCTGATCACTGCTGAGCTTCTTATAAGTATTTCTGTAACTTCTCTAATCACTTTTTACTGACTGATGAAGTAGAGATATTATCACTTATAATAGTATCTTTATCTCTCTCAGTTCTATCACTGTATCTGATCTTCAGATCAGTAGTCAACTTCATATCTCTTTCAGATCAGTTTCTGACTTTAAGCAGTGCAGTCTCTCTCTTTACTGTAAGTCTTCTTATAAGTAATTTCTTACAGACTCTAGCTGACAGTTCTTATAAAGCTCTCAGTGTTGTCAGTGTCTTCTGTGATCTCACAGGTCTATAATTACTCTTTCTCTACTCACACAATCTCTGATCAGGTATATATAAATATGTCTAGATTTTCTATCAATGATTCTCATATCACAGTGCATTTTCACAATCTCATTGTTAATGAGAGATAAGTCTCTGAGTATCTGTAAAATCTGAGTAATTAAGACAATGTAAATATTATGAATTTGTGATAAGAGTTGATCTGAGCAGATGAGCTCTCTCTTCATATCTCAATTATTTTCAGACTGAATACTTCAGTATAACTGAGAGAGTGAACACAGCTTTATAAGAGATATCTGATTACATATGCAGATGATCAGCTCTCAAGACTCTGTTACAACTGTATACACTTTGATATTCAGCTTCTCTGAAGTCTGTGCATTTCTGACAGTCTTTATATCAAATGCAACAATTATCTGTACTGCAGATATAATACTTTCTACTTTTTTAAAGAAGAAAGTTGATAGTTGTGAGAAAATTGAGTATTACAGATATTGAGAGTGTGAATTTGAGTTTTCTTTATTTTTTCTTTATTAATCTCTAAATTATGTTCACAGTTCTGTTTTTATTTTCTTATTTTTTAGCTTTAATAAGAGTATAATTTCTTCTTTTCTTATATATACTATAGACTGTTCATCTCAGTAGAAACTTATCATCTTATAGACTAGAGCTTGTAAATAACAGTGTTAATATCTTTATTATAATCAGATTCTTAGTAAAGACTGCATTATTCTGACTTATCAGAATTTATAGTATGAAAGTCATATCTCAGCTTCTACAGATATCTTATCTGTCTGAATGATTCTTAAGTGAACTTATTCATCTTATCAGAATACTCTTATCACTGAATCTTGAATCAGAGCTTATAATCTTACTTCTCTAAGTTAATAATCTCTTTAATCTGATATTCTCTTT